CAGTCTGACTTGTCCACACAGATTGGGATTGGACGTGAAATGGCTCTCATTCTTGGAAAAGTTGCTCGACTTGTGTACCGTCTTCGTATTCTCGCCACTCTAAGACAAGATTTTTTGTAGGAGGCCTTAGTCTCCGATGTCTCATTTTGTGTCTGTCGGAAGCGTTCGAACCCGAATATGACCATTACATTTCAAATGAATTATTCTCATCCTGTATCTGCCATCGCGTGGCTTCAAAAGGATCGCCTTATCCGTTGTTTGCAGCAGTGTGTATAAGCGAAAACTTGTTGTTGTGGATACCTGTCTTCTTTCTCTTACTCTCTTCCTGATTTCCATCACTGTCATCTCTTCTGTAGTGCTCAAATTAAATGACGCAGCTGACTTACCATGGGATTCCGCGATCTGCAGTCATGTGCCAGAGGCCCCCGTTGAACCCCTGTGATCAGTATCCCCTTGTCAGACCACGCTACCTTGCTTCTCTGGTGGTATTCAACACCCGTATTCTATGACAGATAGGTCATCAGGCTGCATCTGCACGCGCATTTGTCACCATACATGTGCGGAACTAAGATTCATGGCCGCCCCCAGCGGATATCGAACTACCTGCTCCCAGACTGTCTTCTCGCTGGTGGCTGTATGTACCCGGGGACGCTGATGTGCCAACCAGGTGTGATGGGTATCGTTCTCAGTTCCGGAGATGAACCACCGTTGGTTGAGTAGCTACTTGTGCACAGCCGTCTGCGTTCTACCCTTTTGACATCTTCAACCAGTGTTGGCGCACTGGACTACACTAAATGCTATTTGTTCCTCATTGCCGTCTACAGCTCATTCAATTACAGTCCTGGTGCTACCAACCGCCGAGTCTTCTACCACTATGTTAGTATTCTTCTTCGCAATATCACTAGTCCAGATATCTTTTTTAAAGTTACAGTGACATGAATGTGACATTTGGTTGCCTACGCTCCTCATAAAGTCAGGCGGGTAGGATGTTCCCCCTATTCCGGGTGTATGAACAACGGTGACTTCACACCGATCATCTACTGCTTCTAAGCAACAACGCCTTCGATCCCGGTGGGCACTTGACATCTTCCGATGGCCGGTCAACTCCATAAAGGTCAGGTGTCGTGGTTCTATTCTCCACTGTCCCTGATTCTGGGACATCCTTGCCGTTTCTGCTCATGCTGCTGTACCTTAACGATTTTCCGTGAACTCCGCTGGGAAGTACAACACGGTTCGTTTGCTTGACAATCGTTTAAACGATCATTCTATGATACTATACTTGTTGGATTATCACTTAGTTGCTCCGAGAACACGTCAAGCATCACGGGTATGGGGTTTCTTAAGTTAGACGAGTGCATCTGCTTGTGGCACAATCAGCTGTCGGCACACTGAATGCTCGTTATTGGGGTAAGGTCGATGAGTCTAGTGGTGTCTAACAGATGAACCCCTACTGTCATCGGCACAGTGTGACCAGGTGAGCTACCAGCCTCGAGTCATACCGGTAACTGCGAACTTTCACTGAAGCCTAGTAGATCCCTTCAAGAAATAACTTCGGCGTTTCTAACTAAACCGCCCTGTCGGTTTTGTGAAGCAGTCCATCGACTAGACATTCATGGACAACAGTAGAGTTCCAAATCACAAATCTCATCAAGTAGAGCATTATAGGAGAATTTTGACGCTTAGATTGTGCGGGTGAACCATATCCGGCTCGTTTAGAAGCTCCATCTGAATCTGTACCTTAAAACTCGTGATTTCCGACTTTCCCCAAGATTATTTGTTTTCTCTCGGACCGTCGCTATTAAAGGATAGTACTGGGGTGCCTTTGCCGGCCCATGGTCGAATGGATCACATGTCTACCTTCTTATCCGAGGGCACTAGTTCGAGCTTGCCCAGGGGACCCTCGCAGTATCCTTGACCAACGTGCGACCGGTGGTTGTTGCGCGGCGGTGGGGCGTCGATACTGCATACCGGCGTACTGCTGATACTAACGAGGTCCCTTACGAGGAGTTGACTCATCTGTTCAGACAGGTATGGAAAAATGAGATAGCTTTAGCCCATTAGATCGAATTGATCATGGTGCCGCTGTTCTCGAAGGGCAGTCGCACAGTTGGCATTAATCGTGGGTGTATCAAAATGAAGCCGGTGAGGACAAAATCACTGATCTCCATTCTGACCGCGGAGCAGGAGCCAGGAATGACAGAAGAATAGGCAAGTTTCCTTCTTGGTCTGGGCTGCATGCACCATATTTTTACTCTCTCCTGGGTTCTAGAACACCACTACACGCACCGACCGCCTTGTTCTGCTCGATTTACACGGTGAACTATGTGCCCATAAGCCATGTTGGCATCTTACGTTGCCCGTACTCTGCCGCGACGTATCGCATTATGACCCACGGCGGATTGTCCATTGCCTTTCCTCCAGGGTGTGTCGTTCACCGGCGTTGTCCCACTTTCCTTTTTTCAATTTTATCATTGACTCTTGTGGAATCCCATGACGCAGAAAATGACATACTATTCAGGTGCATTCTGGATGGCGCTGACACTGCATTGCTGTTTGAGAGACAGGAGATGGCGCAGTCAACCCTGGACAGATTCTGGGTTCGTTCCATACTTTAGCATGTGTTTCTTAACTTCAAAGTGCGACGTGCTGATACAAGACGACCAGCCACTTGAGTATGAAGAATTGATGATAGGCGCTCAATTTACTCATTTTTGTAGCTACGAGGGATAAGTGAGTGATGAAATTACTTTACCTATCGCGAAAGTCCAATTCGTGTTTCTGAATGTGCGCTATAAATGGCGCATGGTGATTCCCCTCACTCTTGAAGATCATGTATACAGGACAGCGTTGAGGGCCGTTTCTCTCTACATGATTGAGATGTGGCCTCCTCAGTCGGAAAATCTAATGTCTCCAAGCCTTCGATCTATGTAAAGTTTTCATAATACTGAATTATCTATGGGGTAAGGTTGATTGTGATACGATGTAGTGCGTGTCTCAAAATGGCTGCCTCGCTGATGCTACTCGGTGGCCAACTACTGAATGTTTGCTTACGGTGCTCTCATTTTATGTCAGATCTACTTTTTACTCTTTGATTTATATCTATTTGGGATATTTAAGTTAGGTCTGACATTTAATCCTTTGTGTGATCATTTGTCGCACCAGAATCAACACCATTAGGTAACAGTCGCTGATAGACTAGCAGCGGTTTTTTAATGCTCACCAACGACCGATGTATTGTGCCACTTCAAATTTTTACAAGCACGCTCGTTTTCTTTTGCCAATGAGGATTGCGGACCATAAAAACCCGAACTCTACGCATCGTCTGAGCAGAAAACCTCTCATTTCTAGAGAGCAAAACAATGCAAAAGCCGGTACTCACGACCCGGTTTGCACGTTTTAGGTACCAGGCGGGAGCAACAAGACGTGACAGTAAATGGTTCGGCGGGTTTATGAAGATAACCTTTTGACCTTGCACCATAGTGTTCACTAGTAAGACACATCAGTGATGTCCAACGTTTTAGAACGTAACTGTTTAAAACACAAGGCAGTTTCTCAGCTTCGTGTGATTGTGCTTAGACTTTAAGAGGCAACAAATGAACTTACTTAAAAAAGTAGTACTTACGGACTTCGCTTTCGATCGATGCTGATGTGACATTTGCAGGCCTTCGCTTCCTCGGACCACCGATTGATTAACTTTGTCTTCCGGTTAAAAAGCGGGACTCCTAGTAATGTTGCGCATTTCTGTCATTTGCACTACAGTTAGCATTCGATGTGTTAGCGTTCTCAGAGCTTCTTGCCCACGCAGAACAAACTAGTGGAGTACGCTCAAAAGAACCGAATCCTCATATGCAGCTAACGCCAGCGATATTGAACTCAGACTAGATTGAGAATAATGGATGTGTTCTTCTCTTCTCTTTTTTACAAACTCAGTCTAGAAGCCGAGCGCACTTTGTTGTCTTGAGTCTATGATACACGGAAACACTGATGGAATTCATGAACTTTCATCACATACATGCTGGAATGCTCACGTTTGTGTCGTCAACACCTTCACGTGATCTGTGATGCGGCCCTTTTCTGTAGTCTCACTGGCAAGCGCAGAAATGTTATACCTTTAATCTGCTCCACTTTTCTTAACTTCGTTGTTGATTTGGCTTTCCTCGGCTTACAAAATTACCATATCTCTCCATTGCATTCACAACCTTGACTTTCGAGTTCCCCTTCTGTGCACCCACTAATCACCGGCGGCATCTTTTATTTAACCGTTGAATCACCCTTTTGTAACGCCTCAGTGTTATTCTTCTCCCCAAGGAAACCTATCCGTTTGAACCGCCTTTCGTACGCATCCTATATCCGGTTATTGAGAACGGTTACGTATTAGCTGGTGGGGCGTTATGCATGGAGCTGTTTACCAAACAAGGTTGGTCCAGCGCTTATGACATCGAGTCGGTTATCATGCAACTGGCCGCCACATTGGTCAAAGGACGCGGTCGCATCAATTTTACAGCTTCCAGCGTAAGTTCCACTCCGTATACCGCTGATTTATCCATTTATAAGGTTCACTTCAGTGTCGTTCACTTCCTAGAGCTGGTCGCATATTGTACCGGGAGTTACGCGAATTTTCTTCCCATTTTGCACGTATGCTTGTAGACTCCCCGAAGGTTACTGACGATTATGGTCCTGTTTGAGTCCCAACCCTCATCATTCAATGCAATATATATATATATATATATATATATATATATATATATATATATATATATATATATATATATATATATATATATATATATATATATATATATATCATTGAATGTTCAGGGTTGGGACTCAAACAGGACCATAATCATCAGCAACCTTCGGGGAGTCTACGACCATACGCGCAAAATGGGAAGAAAATTCGCGTAACACCCGGTACAATAGGCGACCAGCTCTAGGAAGTGAACGACACTGAAGTTAATCTTGTAAATGGATAAATTAGCGGTATACGGAGTGGAACTTACGCTGGAAGCTGTAAAATTGATGCGACCGCGTCCTTTGACCAATGTGGCGGCCAGTTGCATGATAACCGACTCGATGTCATAAGCGCTGGACCAACCTTGTTTGGTAAACAGCTCCATGCATAACGCCCCACCAGCTAATACGTAACCATTCTCAATAACCGGATATAGGATGCGTACGAAAGGCGGTTCAAACGGATAGGTTTCCTTGGGGAGAAGAATAACACTGAGGCGTTACAAAAGGGTGATTCAACGGTTAAATAAAAGATGCCGCCGGTGATTAGTGGGTGCACAGAAGGGGGAATCGAAAGTCAAGGTTGTGAATGCAATAGAGAGATATGGTAATTTTGTAAGCCGAGGAAAGCCAAACCAACAATGAAGTTAAGAAAAGTGGAGCAGTTTAAAGGTATAACATTTCTGCGCTTGCCAGTGAGACTACAGAAAAGGTCCGCACCACAGATCACGTGAAGGTGTTGACGACACAAACGTGAGCATTCCAGCATGTATGCGATGAAAGTTCATGAATTCCATCAGTGTTTCCGTATATCATAGACTCAAGACAACAAAGTGCGATCGGCTTCTAGAATGAGTTTGTAAAAAAGAGAAGAACACACCCATTATTCTCAATCTAGTCTGAGTTCAACATCGCTGGCGTTAGCTGCATATGAGGATTCGGTTCTTTTGAGCGTACTCCACTAGTTTGTTCTGCGTGGGCAAGAAGCTCTGAGAACGCTAACACATCGAATGCTAACTGTAGTGCAAATGACAGAAATGCGCAACATTACTAGAAGTCCCGCTCTTGAACCGGAAGACAAAGTTAAACGATCGGTGGTCCGAGGAAGCGAAGGCCTGCAAATGTCACGTCAGCATCGATCGAAAGCGAAGTCGGTAAGTACTAGTTTTTAAATAAGTTCATTTGTTTCCTCTTAAAGTCCAAGCACAACCACACGAAGCTGAGAAACTGCCTTGTGTTTTAAACAGTTACGTTCTAAAACGTTGGACATCACTGATGTGTCTTACTAGTGAACACTATGGTGCAAGGTCAAAAGGTTATCTTCATAAACCCGCCGAACCATTTACTGTCACGTCTTGTTGCTCCCGCCTGGTACCTAAAACGTGCAAACCGGGTCGTGAGTACCGGCTTTTGCATTGTTTTGCTCTCTAGAAATGAGAGGTTTTCTGCTCAGACGATGCGTAGAGTTCGGGTTTTTATGGTCCGCAATCCTCATTGGCAAAAGAAAACGAGCGTGCTTGTAAAAATTTGAAGTGGCACAATACATCGGTCGTTGGTGAGCATTAAAAAACCGCTGCTAGTCTATCAGCGACTGTTACCTAATGGTGTTGATTCTGGTGCGACAAATGATCACACAAAGGATTAAATGTCAGACCTAACTTAAATATCCCAAATAGATATAAATCAAAGAGTAAAAAGTAGATCTGACATAAAATGAGAGCACCGTAAGCAAACATTCAGTAGTTGGCCACCGAGTAGCATCAGCGAGGCAGCCATTTTGAGACACGCACTACATCGTATCACAATCAACCTTACCCCATAGATAATTCAGTATTATGAAAACTTTACATAGATCGAAGGCTTGGAGACATTAGATTTTCCGACTGAGGAGGCCACATCTCAATCATGTAGAGAGAAACGGCCCTCAACGCTGTCCTGTATACATGATCTTCAAGAGTGAGGGGAATCACCATGCGCCATTTATAGCGCACATTCAGAAACACGAATTGGACTTTCGCGATAGGTAAAGTAATTTCATCACTCACTTATCCCTCGTAGCTACAAAAATGAGTAAATTGAGCGCCTATCATCAATTCTTCATACTCAAGTGGCTGGTCGTCTTGTATCAGCACGTCGCACTTTGAAGTTAAGAAACACATGCTAAAGCATGGAAGGAAATCAGAATCTGTCCAGGGTTGACTGCGCCATCTCCTGTCTCTCAAACAGCAATGCAGTGTCAGCGCCATCCAGAATGCACCTGAATAGTATGTCATTTTCTGCGTCATGGGATTCCACAAGAGTCAATGATAAAATTGAAAAAAGGAAAGTGGGACAACGCCGGTGAACGACACACCCTGGAGGAAAGGCAATGGACAATCCGCCGTGGGTCATAATGCGATACGTCGCGGCAGAGTACGGGCAACGTAAGATGCCAACATGGCTTATGGGCACATAGTTCACCGTGTAAATCGAGCAGAACAAGGCGGTCGGTGCGTGTAGTGGTGTTCTAGAACCCAGGAGAGAGTAAAAATATGGTGCATGCAGCCCAGACCAAGAAGGAAACTTGCCTATTCTTCTGTCATTCCTGGCTCCTGCTCCGCGGTCAGAATGGAGATCAGTGATTTTGTCCTCACCGGCTTCATTTTGATACACCCACGATTAATGCCAACTGTGCGACTGCCCTTCGAGAACAGCGGCACCATGATCAATTCGATCTAATGGGCTAAAGCTATCTCATTTTTCCATACCTGTCTGAACAGATGAGTCAACTCCTCGTAAGGGACCTCGTTAGTATCAGCAGTACGCCGGTATGCAGTATCGACGCCCCACCGCCGCGCAACAACCACCGGTCGCACGTTGGTCAAGGATACTGCGAGGGTCCCCTGGTCCCCTGGGCAAGCTCGAACTAGTGCCCTCGGATAAGAAGGTAGACATGTGATCCATTCGACCATGGGCCGGCAAAGGCACCCCAGTACTATCCTTTAATAGCGACGGTCCGAGAGAAAACAAATAATCTTGGGGAAAGTCGGAAATCACGAGTTTTAAGGTACAGATTCAGATGGAGCTTCTAAACGAGCCGGATATGGTTCACCCGCACAATCTAAGCGTCAAAATTCTCCTATAATGCTCTACTTGATGAGATTTGTGATTTGGAACTCTACTGTTGTCCATGGATGTCTAGTCGATGGACTGCTTCACAAAACCGACAGGGCGGTTTAGTTAGAAACGCCGAAGTTATTTCTTGAAGGGATCTACTAGGCTTCAGTGAAAGTTCGCAGTTACCGGTATGACTCGAGGCTGGTAGCTCACCTGGTCACACTGTGCCGATGACAGTAGGGGTTCATCTGTTAGACACCACTAGACTCATCGACCTTACCCCAATAACGAGCATTCAGTGTGCCGACAGCTGATTGTGCCACAAGCAGATGCACTCGTCTAACTTAAGAAACCCCATACCCGTGATGCTTGACGTGTTCTCGGAGCAACTAAGTGATAATCCAACAAGTATAGTATCATAGAATGATCGTTTAAACGATTGTCAAGCAAACGAACCGTGTTGTACTTCCCAGCGGAGTTCACGGAAAATCGTTAAGGTACAGCAGCATGAGCAGAAACGGCAAGGATGTCCCAGAATCAGGGACAGTGGAGAATAGAACCACGACACCTGACCTTTATGGAGTTGACCGGCCATCGAAAGATGTCAAGTGCCCACCGGGATCGAAGGCGTTGTTGCTTAGAAGCAGTAGATGATCGGTGTGAAGTCACCGTTGTTCATACACCCGGAATAGGGGGAACATCCTACCCGCCTGAGTTTATGAGGAGCGTAGGCAACCAAATGTCACATTCATGTCACTGTAACTTTAAAAAAGATATCTGGACTAGTGATATTGCGAAGAAGAATACTAACATAGTGGTAGAAGACTCGGCGGTTGGTAGCACCAGGACTGTAATTGAATGAGCTGTAGACGGCAATGAGGAACAAATAGCATTTAGTGTAGTCCAGTGCGCCAACACTGGTTGAAGATGTCAAAAGGGTAGAACGCAGACGGCTGTGCACAAGTAGCTACTCAACCAACGGTGGTTCATCCCCGGAACTGAGAACGATACCCATCACACCTGGTTGGCACATCAGCGTCCCCGGGTACATACAGCCACCAGCGAGAAGACAGTCTGGGAGCAGGTAGTTCGATATCCGCTGGGGGCGGCCATGAATCTTAGTTCCGCACATGTATGGTGACAAATGCGCGTGCAGATGCATCCTGATGACCTATCTGTCATAGAATACGGGTGTTGAATACCACCAGAGAAGCAAGGTAGCGTGGTCTGACAAGGGGATACTGATCATAGGGGTTCAACGGGGGCCTCTGGCACATGACTGCAGATCGCGGAATCCCATGGTAAGTCAGCTGCGTCATTTAATTTGAGCACTACAGAAGAGATGACAGTGATGGAAATAAGGAAGAGAGTAAGAGAAAGAAGACAGGTATCCACAACAAATTTTCGCTTATACACACTGCTGCAAACAACGGATAAGGCGATCCTTTTGAAGCCACGCGATGGCAGATACAGGATGAGAATAATTCATTTGAAATGTAATGGTCATATTCGGGTTCGAACGCTTCCGACAGACACAAAATGAGACATCGGAGACTAAGGCCTCCTACAAAAAATCTTGTCTTAGAGTGGCGAGAATACGAAGACGGTACACAAGTCGAGCAACTTTTCCAAGAATGAGAGCCATTTCACGTCCAATCCCAATCTGTGTGGACAAGTCAGACTGGCCTGTAAGAGTGGCATTCAAGAGATGCATAGACAATACCCTGTATAATACTATGGATCGGTGAGGCAATCAGAACACCGCAATATGCTAAAGTCTACTCTCGATATGATGGAGGCACATACGCACAGAGACGAACGATCACTACGTAGGTGAAGAATGTGATGTGATCAGAACAAAAGGCGCAAGTTTAACAGAGGGTTACGTGAGGCACATTCATGCACGGATTGTGGTAACTGTTCCCATAGACGCTCGACTTATGTGCACTCAGTTAGTACAATAGTCGAGGTTCTCGAAAGTACTGCTTGTTCCAACTGTCCAATACCTCCGAGATGTTTTCCCATGGGACACAATGACCCTGAGCGTACTCTGACCAACAGTCCCTTTCCACAGGTGTGGAACGCACTTGAGCCAAGATTTTCGAATCCAAGGAAAGATGATAAAGGTTAGCAAAACGCACACCATTGTCAATCAAGGGAAATAAAACGAAAGGAAGTGACTGGTCGCACAAATATCATAGACATTGCTAGTGGACTGGTTGTAGTTAGCTCCAAGTAAGATATCCGGAAAAGTGAAGGACAGTCGCTGATAGTCAATAGTAAGAGCAAAATCCACGACCCATGGGTTTGGAAGTCAGCGATTTGCACCACAAGACCGCGGCGAAACACCATGACTGAGTACAAGCTGAGATGTAGC